ATTTTTTTAAGTGAATATAAAACACCCAGATATAGAGTCATATTATAAGATATCTGGCTTCGTCTGGCAGCATTCTCTTTCTTGAGCCTATTTGAAACAGAAACTTAGAGCCACCAGTGAAATTTACCTGTAGTTAGAAATGAGATGTACCCTGTCTGAACACATCCTATACATACTCAAGAAGAAAGTTCATCCTATTAAGTCTGTGTTCTCAAATACTTTATTAAAATCAATCAATTACTACACTGCTAAAAAATCTATTACTACACTGCTAAAAAATAATAAAGCCAACTTGCCTCTGGATTACTTCTGTATTACTACAATGTCTCAGTTCTTTAAAGCCAGTATTATTTCACCAGGTATCACTCAAAATTCATGCAACTCACACGTTAATCATGTATCATACACTATATATATATATATCTCCCCTGAAACAAACCTAGACTTACCTGTAGTAATGGCTCGATGGAATTGATGCATATCTTCCCCAGATAGCTCTTGGGCTACCTGGAATATCTTTTGTCTGACACCATCCAATTTAATTTCTGATTCAGTCAATATATCTTCCATATCAGGAGCACTACGATCAAGATATTGGGAACTTTTAGAACATCAGCCAGATGCTTTAATAGTGAAAAACTGAAATAATCTAAATATCAACATAGGGCTAAATATTGTATGCATTTGGATTCTTCTAACTCAGAACTACTCAAAACTATTAACAGTATGGAAAACATGAAAAATGCTATTAACACACTGTTAAGTGAAAAAAGTATACAAAAACAATATGTGTAACATAATGATAAGAAAAATTTTGTACCTAAAAATATGACACACAGATGTCTGCTTTCAGTAAGGACAGAGTAACATGAACTAGATTTATCCTCTTACCTTAAACAACTAAAAAGAAAAAATAAATACAGAAAACAATGGTTAAAGACCCTGGACTACAGGCAGCATGGAGCAGTGATCCCTGGGGAAAGGGAGGAGAACAACATATACCCTGTGACTGCCCCATCTTATTGCCTGGAAAGTTTCCAAGTGACAGCACAGAGACAGGAAACTTAGGTGGAGACTGGGAGTCAGCCTGAGTAGAAAAGGATTTGGGTGTTTTGGGGAATCAAGACAGCTAAAATTTGCAAAGCAGAGTAACAATGAGGAGAAAGCTGTATAAACAGAGATGTTCAGAGATTTACAGAAGCGACCTCCTCAAGTCTTCAGTTGAGTACTGATCAGAACAGGCATGCAAGGAAACTATTCAAGGCTAGAAAGACTGCCCAAAATGAGCAGGCAGAACAATACCCTTAGTTCACAGAGCCAGAAAGTATCAATTCATCAGCAGCAGACTGACACTACAAAAAATATCAAAGGAAGTTCTTTAGGCAAAAGGAAAATAATACCAGATGAAAATCTGATACACACAAAGGCATGAACACCAAAAATGGTAAATGTGGATAAAATTTTTCTTATTTTTAAATCATACTGTTTAAAGTAAAAATCATTAACACATTGTGGAAATTATAACAAAAGTAGAAATAATATGAATCACAACAATAGCACAAAAGGCCAAGCTAGAAGGAAAATGGAAAAGGAAGTATAAGATTCTAACACCATATAGGAAGTAATATGTAAATAGTCCTTCCTTTGCATGGTACTGTGTTAACTGAAACTTGGGCACATCAACACTGTAACTGCAAAGTAACTGTTACCACAAAACCATGTAATGTGAAAACAGGATTCTTATATGCACAAATTTTCGTAAACACAGTATTGTACAAAGTGAAAATAGTTGACAATAAGATGTATATTATAAACCATAAAACAATCACTACAAAAACAAAAAAGGCATCGCTAACAAGCTTACAAATAAGATAAAATGGGATCATAAAAAATTATACAAAATAAAGCAGGAAGAAGAGAATAGATAGATTTAATTATAACTATATCAATAACTACATTAAATGTAAATGGTCTAAATACCTGGACTAACATGCAGAGATTTTCCAAATAGATTTTTAAAAAGCAAGAGAGACAAGAAATTCATGTTAAATATAAACACAAATAGATTAAAAATAAAAGGATGAAAAGATATATATTCTGATAACATTAATCAAAAGAAAACAGAGTAGCTATATTAATATCAAACTTCGGGCAAAGCCTACTTCCAGGGATACCATTTTAATGATGAAGGGTCAATTCATCAAATGCGTAACAATCCTAAATATTAATGTACCAAATAAAAGAGCTTCAAGATACTTGAAGAAAAAACTGATAGGACTTCAAGGAGAAAGACAAACCTATAATTGTCTTAAAGAGATGTCATCCTCTTTCTCTCTCTCAATAATTGACAAGTATACAAAAAATCATAAGGAAATAAGCGACTTGAACAACACTTAATTGGTGTTTAGAGAACATTACACCTAACAATAGTAGAATATACACGCTTTTCAAGTGTACCCAGAACGTTTACCAGGTAGACCGTATCCTGAGCCAAAATTAAGGCTCTATAAATTTAAAAAGATTCAAATTATAGAAAGTATGTTATCTAATACATGAAATTAAATTAGAAATCAGTACCAGAAAGTTGTCTGGAAAACCCCCAAAATACTTGGACACAAAATAACACACTAAAAATTACTCTTGGGTCAAAAATGAAATCAAAATAAAAATTGGCACCAATAAATTTCAAAACTTAAAGGAAATGGCAAATTCCTTAAAAACTACTGAAGGTCACTGAAGGAGTTATCTGTGTCTATTAAAGAAAATAATTTCGTAGTTAAAATATACGAGGTCTTCTCACTAACAGTTTTTCAGGTGTACTGTGACTGGCTCATTTCTTTCATAAAGTTTTTTTTTTTTTTTTTTTTTTTTTTTTTTTTTTTTTTTTTTTTTTTGAGACAGGTTCTGGCTCTGTTTGCTCAGGCTGGAGTACGGTGGTGTGATCTCGGCACACTGCAGCCTCTGCCTCCCAGGCTCAAGCAAGCCTCCCAGGAGCGTGGGTGGCGTTTACCACCAAACCTGCCTAATTTTTGTATTTTTAGTACAGACAAGGTTTCGCCATGTTGCCCAGGCTGGTCTTGACCTCCTGAGCTCAAGTGATCCACCCACCTTGGCCTCCCAAACTGCTGGGATTACAGGTGTGAGCCACTACACCCAGCTGAGACCTACTGTTATTAAAATATTAATTCTTAAATTGTACCTGCTGCTAATGTCTTCTAATCCTGACGTTCAAAGTCACAGAATATTCTAACAGCTAGTATCAAACTATAATAAATTTTAAAGATGCTTACTCACCTTGTAATCCTATGGAGGAGAAAAATTGTCCTTTTACTTTCAACAGTTATATCTCGACTAAGTTTCACAAGTCTCTCATATTTGTCATGCCTTGCATCAAGTTCCTGCTGAAATGCTAAAAACACATTATTATGAACATATATATTCTATACTCAAAGCCTACCAAACAATATTTTTAAGATGCATGTCACAGTGTAAATGTAGACAATGACTGTAGTCACCCGACTTCATTCAGAAGCAGAACATGATGGCAATGACACTCTCAAAATACAAAAAGATGAACATTACAAATAATCTCTAGCACCTACTGACTCCAGTGTTCTTAATTGTCAAACACCCTAGTTATATATCACTAACAGCATTAAAGTACCTTGAGAGGGCCACTTAATATTCCCACATTTCTGAACCTTTAAAACGAAGTACTGATAATTTCTGTAAATGCCAACAATGCACAGAAGCTTGCAAATTCCTGAATCCCTGATTTTTTAAAAATCTGTCAACTGTAGTAAGGTAGCACATATATATTAAAATGAATATGAAACAAATTTCTTAAAAATGAATGCCAAAATATGTGAATTATATCTTAATTTTTAAAAAAATCTACCAAATTATGAATATTACACTTAAATATTGTGTAAAAATCTAGTTAGCCCATTTATTTTAGAATGTAATCTCAAATTTACTTTATGTTTTACCATGTAGTAATACTGCACACATACGCATAATACAATTGAGAAATACTCAACTATTTTCAGAAAGATAGTAAAGGGGAAAATGACTGAACATAGACAACCACTACAGAAGTTAGTTTTGTTATAACTAATAACTAGATCATAAAGTAGTTCTGCAATCAATAGAAAGTTGTGGCAGAGTTAATCTAAAAATGATCACTAAGAAATATCAAAATTTAATTAGGCTGGGGAAAAAGTCAACTGAAAATTGGATTAGTCAGGATGTTAGAAATCTAGGAAGAGAAATCAAAGTAGGAGAAAATGAAGAAGAGTTCCTGAGAATGATGAAAGGCTGAATGCAGGCTGTGGTGTCCAGTTCTTACACACTAAATTTGAAGACTCAACACTCCCATAGAGAAATTAATCTTCAACCTGTCAAACTGTTATGAACACAAATCTCCCATAATATAATATTACATAAGAAGATTTCCTCCCCACTTTCATACATCCTTTTCCTTACAGAACAAAGCATTTTCACAACTCTAACATGTCTTGCCTTCAGGAAAATGTTCACACATTTGTCTCCTTACATGTCAGGACTTTGATTCCTTACAGTCACACTGTTTTCTCCTTACCTGTACGGTATCAGCACTTAATGGTCAGGAAACTACTGACTGGAATACTTTTATTTATATCTATTACATATAATTGCCAATCTGCTTACCTTTTATGCTAACTTAACTTTCACCTAATCTGCTTAATTTGTTTTAGTCTTGAATATTGAGACTCAAAGAATTTTACCTTGGTAAACTTTTTACAGAAAGTCTAACTTGAGGCTGCCAAACAAAAAACAGTGGTTTAGGTTTTTTAAAAGAATAAAAGCTTTGGCCGGGCTCGGTGGCTCAAGCCTGTAATCCCAGCACTTTGGGAGGCGGAGGTGGGTGGATCACGAGGTCAAGAGATCAAGACCATCCTGGTCAACACAGTGAAACCCCATCTCTACTAAAAAAATACAAAAAACATTAGCTGGGCATGGTGGTGCGCGCCTGTAATCCCAGCTACTCGGGAGGCTGAGGCAGGAGAATTGCCTGAACCCAGGAGGCAGAGGTTGCGGTGAGCCGAGATCGCGCCATTGCACTCCAGCCTGGGTAACAAGAGCGAAACTCCGTCCCCAAAAAAAAAAAAAAGAATAAAAGCTTTTATTACACTACTATCAGATGCTTTAGCCTAAAAATTTTTCCTTACTAAAATTCTTAACAATTAACAAAATTACTTATTATTGTTTAAAAGACTACATCTAAAGTTTTGTGAATATGCTTAGAGCAAAAGGTATTAAATAAATTTAACTGAAGGAAAACTGTTTCTAGAACACAAAGCTATACCTACAGAATGTTACATATATAAGTAACACTTAATAAAACAGTACAACAACTGGGAGTCTACAGAAAGATTACATTACATATGGCAAAAATAATCTGCAGAATCTAGAATGTTTACATAGTAAATTCATGCCTCCAACACATTAACCTGCCTCATATCCTACCCTTAGCTCACCAGTCAGTCAGACTGTGTCTTCTTGCTGGTCCTGATTCTCTAAGCTTGCACCTTTCTTGATGCCTCTGTTTTTGCTACTGCCTCTCTCTACAACACTATTCCTTCTAATCATCTCCCATTTCACTTTCATCATTCAAATATCATTCTGCTCAAGAACTGCTTAAGAATCACCTGCCTCCCTCCTCCCTTACTCTCTATTCCTTACCATGCTTCACTGATTTACATTTATCCTTCACTAGCTAAAATTATATTGTTATTTATTTGTAAATTTACATGTTTCACCTCTGTATCAGGGCATAGATCTGTGTCTAGCAGCAGATGTTCATAAAACGTTTCCTGGTTGAACTGCTTGTTGAAGTCATAAGCAGTATAACATACTGGATAAGAGCATTTGTTGAGGTTTGAGATAAATGTGACCAGAGGTATGCAATCTCCTGGGAACTAAGAAATTGTTGAAAAGGAATTGCAAATTCATGTGCCCAATCAACACTGCCCCTAACATGGAATAATGTCTTACTACTTTGCTGCTTAGCTATTACTTTTTGAAATGTATGCTAATGCAGTTGGAATTAATATAAATTACTAATAATAGTAATATAAGTTAATTTTATAAAGCACAGTTGAATCTGTCTTACCAGCTTCGTTACCGTCATCCAAATCTGTTACTTTATTACTTCATTATCTCTAAGTTACCTTACAAATACTTTACGGTACCTGTACTACAAAATAGTCTCTTGCCTGGTCTGCTTCTGCCCACCTTGCCTTTCTATAACTGCCAGAGTGACATTTCTAAAATATACTTTAGTTTTTAAGACTCTCTAATGACTCTGCATTACATTTAACAAACTCCAAACTCCTCATGAAGCCTTACATTACTTAGTCCCTTGCAATATCCCTCAAAAGAAAAAAAATCATCATTTATGTAGTATTCCAGCCAGGGATATATAACTTGAACCTACTCATGAGAGAATATTAACCAAATCCAAGTTGAGGAATATTCTATTAAATAAAATCTATATTCTTCAATCATTATCACTGTCATGAAAGACAAAGAAAGACTAAGACACTGTTCCAGATCACAGAAAATTAAAAAGAGACAATACAATGTAACGTGTGATCCTGTCCTAGATTATTGGACTAGAGAGACAAGAAGCTAGAAGGAACATTATTGAGACAACTGTCAGAATATGCACTGTAGATTCAGGTATTGTGTCAGCGTTAAATCTCCTGAACTTAGTAACAATACAATAGTTACACAAGAGAATAATCTTCCTCCTAGGAAATACATTCTGAAGTATTAACAAGTAAAGGGGTATGATGGATGCAACTTGTTCTTAAACGGTTTAGAATAAATGTATGTTTAGACATATAAATTTACATATATAAAGAGAATAATAAAGCAAAAATGGCAAAATGTTAAAAATTGGTCAATCTAAGTCAAGGATATATAGAAGTTCTCTATTTTTCCAACTCTATTAGTCTTCCAGTTTTTAAAATCTGAGATTACGTCAAAATAAATTTTAAGAGACAATATTTCTTTACTCAGATGATTCAACAATAGAATATTCATCTGAGAACCCCTTTTAATGCAATTAACTCAAACTTTGATAGCAAAGTGGTTACTCAGACATTAAAGATCCTGGGTTTAAGTTTGAGTTGAACAAACTACACCATCTCATGAAATTTTCTCAGGAAGCTAGTGCTTCTCATTAAAGACTTCCTGGGCCAGATGTGATGGCTCACACCTATAATCGCTGCACTTTGGGAGGCTGAGGTGGGTGGATCACTTGAGCTCAGGAGTTCAAGATGAGCCAAGCCAACATATAGTGAAACTCTGTCTCCACTAAAAATATAAAAACTAGCCAGGCATGGTGGCACACGCCTGCAGTTCCAGCTACTTGGAAGGCTGAGGAAGGAGAATCACTTGAACCTAGGAGGCAGAGGTTGCAATGAGACGAGATCACACCACTGCACACCAGCCTGGGCGACACTGAGAGTCCATCTCAAAAAAAAAAAAAAGACTTCCCATGTAATCCCTTTTAAATCTCCTCCAACAGACCTGTAAGCTTTTATGTTAAACTTTTCCAAAACACTTCGTAAATCTTATGAATGGAAAAAAATGAGGAAATTATTTTAACTTTTTTTTTTTTTTGGAGACAGTCTCGCTCTGTTGACTGGGCTGGAGTGCAGTGGCGCAACGTCGGCTCACTACAACCTCTGCCTCCCAGGTTCAAGCAATTCTCTGCCTCAGCCTCCCGAGTAGCTGGATGTCCGCCACCATGCCCAGGCTAATTTTGTATTTTTAGTAAAGATGGGGTTTCACCGTCTTGGCCAGGCTGGTCTTGAACTCCTGACCTCGTGATCCACCCACCTTAGCCTCCCAAAGTGCTGGGATTACAGGTATGAGCCACTGGGAAGGCAGAAACAGTCTGTACCTAAAAGTACGGTCTCTATATGTAAGAAAGCAACTATTACATACTTTATAAAAATGAAGAGAGTAAAATCATCTATTTCTAAATTACATGGAAATCAAAAACGCTCTTCGAGTAACTAAAATATTTTCCTGTTTAAATATAGGTATGATTTAACTGGGTTTTACCACTCAGTCTCACAATGGGAATACTGTAAAAGTTGTAAAAAAGGAACTTAGTAAACAAGAGATTATCACAAAGTGATATATAATCACTTTTATGTAATTAAGCAAAAATTACTTTTATGTAACAAAAAGTTACATAAAATTTTAAAAGTTACTTTAACCACATATATTAATAATATAAATATCTCCAAAAAAAAGAAACTTATACCTTTTTTTTCAAATTTATTAAATTTGTTTTCCCCGTTTTGACTTCCTGCCTTTTTTTCCACCTTTACTGGGGTATAATTGACAGTTAATCCCAGCACTTTGAGAAGCCAAGGGGGATGGATCGCTTGAGTCCAGGAGTTTAAGACCAGCAGGGGCAACATAGTGAGACCCTGTCCCTAGAAAATATTTAAAAATTATCCATGCATGGTGGCACATGCCTGTAGTCCCAGCTACTGGGGAGGCTAAGGTGGGAGGATCACCTGAGCCCAAGAGGCTATGGTTGCAGTGAATGACTGCAACTGCACTTCAGCCTGGACCAGAGTAAGGTGCTATCACCAAAAAAAAAAAAAAAAACAAAACACTGTGTGTGTGTGTATATATATAGTACATACGGTGACACTTTGATATATGCTATGAAATGATTACCACTATCAAGCTAATTAACATATCCATCACCTCACACAGTTAGCCTTATTTTTTTTTTTTTTTTTTTTTTTTTGAGTGAGGGTCTCTGTTGCCCAGGCTGGAGTGCAGTGGTCCAATCACAGCCCACTGCAGCCTCAAACTTCTAGGTTCAAACAGTCCTCCTGCTCCCACCCCTCCAGAGTAGCTAGGACTATAAGCATACTACAGGCGCATGCCATCATGCCCAGCTAATTGTGGTAAAAACATGTAAGACCTATTTATTTAGCAAATTTCAAGTATAAAGTTTCTGAACTTATCAAGCTCCATACATTGAAATACCCTTTAACCACTTAACTCTCTTAATGCCTTTATTTCAGAAGTCTTTTCACTCCACAGCCCCAAAAGTTGCCTGGCCCATAGGAAACGCCCACCAAATCAGGTATACTGCATGAACCAGAAAAAAAACAAGAACTTATTTAAACTGTTAACTACATTAGTAGCTGACAAGGACCTAAATATATCTGGTCTTTTATTACTGAGATAATAATTAGGCCAGGATTTTGCCTAATATTTCAAGATAATATGTATTCATTATTTATTATAGCTGTATTAATAACCACTGTTAAGTCGGATACTATCAACACAAAATAAGGTACAGTTCCTATCCTCAAGAAGCTCAGGACTGTATAAGGGACAGAGATGTAAACAAATAAAATGTAATCATGCTATAACAAATATATGTAAAAGGTTTGGGAGAGCAGACACCATGCTTCTTGTTCACTACTAATACATGCTAGAACACAGCAGATGCTCAATAAAAATTTCGTAATGTTAGTCACCAATTCAGCTTGAGAGAAAAATCAGAATGTGGTCACAGAAAAGAAGCGACTTGAGCTACGTCTTAAAGAAAATTGTAGTTCAGGCCAGGCGCAGTGGCTCACACCTGTAATCCCAGCACTTTGGGAGGCCGAGGCGGGAGGGTTGCTTGAGCTCAGGAGTTTAAGACCAGCCTGGGCAACATAGCAAAACCCTGTCTCTACAAAATATTTTTTAAAAATTAGCCAGGTATGGGGGCACACACCTGTAGTCCCAGCCACTCAGGAGGCTGAGAAAGGAGAATGGCTTGAGCCCAGGAGGCAGAGGTTTTGCAGTGAGCTGAGATCATGCCACTGCACTCCAGCCTGTGTGACAGAGGGAGACTGCCTCAAAAAAAAAAAAAAAGAAAGAATATTGTAGTTCAGCAGATGGGTAATGAGGACACCATGTTAGAAGCAACTCCACCTTCTGTATCACTATGCTCTTTATTCAATTACAGCCAGGTGTCTTAAATTTCTGAAGATCACAATAGATACTATGGTAGTTTTAAAATATATCCACAAATCACTTGAGACTCCTCCCTCCAAAGGGTGGGATGCAATTTCCTTGCCCTTCAATGTGAGGCAGTTTTTTTGTTGTTGTTGGTTTTTGTTTGTTAGTTTTTCCATTTTTGTCTGAGGAAGTGAGGCAGTTAACTGCCTCCCTTCTAACAAATACAATGTGACAAAAATGACAGTGTCTGATGTCTGAGATTAGGACACAATGAGATTATGGTTTCCTCCTTGCACTCTTTCACATTCTCTCTCTCTCTCTCTGAAGGAAGCCAGATGCTACACCCAAGGACGCCTAAGCAGCACAAGAAGTCCATGTGGACAGAACAGAGAGCTGGTTGCAGGCAAAAGGCCCAAGCAGTCAACAGCTGTGGATCCTTGCACCCCAATCTAGGTTTCAGAATCAAGGTTTCAGGAGACTGCAAATCGGAATCATCAACCAACTAAGCCCTTTCCAGATTCCTTAATCACAGAAATATAAGATATAGGATAACGGATAAAAGGGGACAAAAGGAAGGGGATTTTGTTTTGTTTTGAAATGAGGAATAACTTGTCCAAGTTAATACGCTGAGAAAAGGGGACTGTGAAAATATGTGTATATAGATATACAAGATTTACTAATAGATAACAAGCTCCCATTCTGTGCAAAGTGTTACAGTTAAAACAAAGATACCGTCCCTAACTTCAAGTCTAGTAGAGGAAACAAATATACACTAAATGAAAATATATTTTACCACGTAACACATGAGTAAATATCAGGTACACAATTCTTGAGTATGTGGCATGTCTAATATTAGCTAATGTTTAATATTTCTTGTGTTTAAGTCATGTTTACCTGATTACTAATATTTCTCTTAATGGGACATAAAAGTGAAGGCCTTTGGAATCCAGACTTTTAGGGTAGATCTAGCACCATCACAAAACCTCCAGCAAAATTTTCACATGTAAATTCTTAGGGACTGTTTTCTTGAGCATAACCATGGCTAAACAATTTTGTTCTCTCCCCTTCCCCAACTTATACTGCAGAGAACTTACATTTAAAGGCCAACATCACGGGTGAAGATGAATTAACATCCTTCCCTTCTCTTCTTTGGTTGTGTGGGAAATTGTCATGCTTCCTTTTCCTGAACCCTCCTGATCCTTATGTGGAGAAGAAAAAAAGTTAGAGAAATCTTCCATCACCAAGAGTTTGCAAAACAGAACATAGGCAAACCTCCTCCTCCCTTTAAAACCAGATACCCACAGGGCCCTCGACTTATAAGAGGCTTTCTTCGCAGACCGACAGAAATGCTTCCCAGGCCTTTCCAAGCAAACCATCCATGCCTCCACCAACTGGTGCTTTGATCTGGCATTACAGTAATTACTGAACTAGGATAAAATTACACCTCGAAGATTTAAGAAAAACGGAGGTAAACAGGGCCAACCCGGCCGGGGAGAGAACTAGGGCTGCCGCCCCCGAGTCTGCAAGGGACGATGGCATCCTTTAAGGGTGAAAAGGGGAAAATCGCCTAAAAAGACTGGAGAGCCTCCCCCTCTGGATAAATAACGCCCCATGTTGTGGAGGACGCCACCTTCTTTGTTGCTCATGTCGTCACAGCCTACGATGAGACGAACGGAAACTGAAGGACCTGGAGCGAGACGAAGACGCAAGGTGCAGGCCGACCGAACCCAGAAAAACAGCTTGCCGAGCCGCCCTTTGCAGTCGGGCCGACTACTACGCAGTGGCCGGAAGTCGCCCCTCGCCTACTTCCGGCCTGCGTCCGGGGTCCCACCGCCTCTGGCTCCGCCCCCCGTGTGGTCGGGGGACCCCGCGCGCGCGTGCTTTCGTGGCCGCCCTCTGGTGTGCCTGAAGACAGAAGCGACTCTACACGCCTCACAGCATGCACTATTAATAAGAAGACGATGCGTCCTCCTGGAGCTGAGATCTGTGTGATCCTGGGAAAGCGACAAAAACGTTCGTAATTATTTTCTGAAGGCACGTTCGGGACACTTACCCTTCCCTCAGCGGGGGCCCACCTTCGCGCGCGGTGCATCGTAGGGGTTGTAGTTCGTCCGCGGGAGCGGGACCTCGGGAGCCCCAGCCGGAGGTGTGAGAAAGAGGCGAGTTCCTCGGGGCATCTGGGAAGGTTTTTTCAGGATCCAGGCAGAAACTTACAGAGCTAGGAGTTTTTTTAACTTTCCCAGGCGCTTTAAGGGATGGAAATATGCGAGTCGATCAGTGGATGGTGTTAGTACTGTTTTCTCTCATGAAGGCCTGCCCTTCCAGTCTCCTCTCACCTTCTCCCTCCTCCACCGACCTCTCCTCCGCACTGGCTCTCAGAAGCCAAATAGCCTGTGTTCAATTTGCCTCCACAGAGTGGTTGGGCGACCTTGATGAAGTAGGCAACCTCTGTGCCTCGGTTTCCTTATCTGTAACATAGGGATAGAATAGTACCCGCCTATTAGGGTTATTTGAGGATGAAAGGAGTTAAGGCTCGTGAAGACGTTCTTTCACATATAAATGCTCAATTAAGTATTAGATGCCATACTCCTCTCCCACCAGGGCTCTCTCAGACAATACGACAGAGAGAAAGGTAATAGCAGGTGTGTTCCACTAAACTGTGGGCCTTTCATCATGGACAGGTACTGTCATATCTAGACTTTGTGCCCACCCTAGGCCCAGTGCTTCTCAGCGCTGATCCTGCGCCTTGTAAGCCTCTATCAATGTTTCTTGAAGAATCATGTTCCTGGCATCAGGATGGGTAAGTAGGTGGCAGCTCAGCACCCTCTAGAGAGAAACTCAGGCCAAGGCTTGGTAAGTGGGGTGCTCTAGGCCTAGTAGAGAAAACACAAGTACATTTTAAGCTTTGTCTAAATAATCTCGATATTGTAGTCATGTGTTGTACACACAGTCTTTTCTTCTTGTTAATTTAGGAACAAAAGAACAGGAAATGAAATAACTTGGCTAGAATATGGCAGTAACTACAAGGCACAGTCTGCTGTGGCAGGAAGGTAACCACCACTCATACCTCTGCAGCTCTGCGAATACATGAATTGATTGAGCAGATTCCTTGAGGATAAAGTAGGCTCCTGGGGACCCTGCTTATTGGGCTACTTGCTTTACGGATGTTGAACAGATAATTCTCATGAGTTTGACTGACGTCTGATCTACCAGTATCCCCCCACTCTGATTAGAAATAACTTGACCATGCAAAAAAAAAAAAAAAAAAAAAAGGCCGGGCGCGGTGGCTCAAGCCTGTAATC